CATACCTAATCTTGAATTCTTCATCTGGTTTGTTTCTCTTACTCACCATCAAAGAAAAAAGTACTTCCTAAATTCACTCAGCACCAGTCTCGTCACAAACATTTTAAGCTGAACTTTTAAGCAGGCTGGTCGCAGACCGGGCCGCGGGGACATTGATCCCGAAACCTTCTCCAGGTATACTCCAGGTGGAAATATAAACACATATGCAGTATAATGTGATCCTTTATTGACAACGTTTCACCCACAGTGGGCTTTTTCAAGTCACACACGGATCTACCTGGGGGGGGAAGGTTCGGGAGTATTTATAATCAAGTTCAGAATGTTGAGGTCAGGTGGAGAATGCTGCATCTGATGATCTACCAGGTGGGGTTATAGAGTCTTGGGTAGCTTGGCAGGGGTATTGGACAAGTTGTGAGTAGACCTTCTGCAGTGTTCTATGTTCTTACGTGGGATAGCGATGAAGAAGTTTCTTGGCGAGTGGTTCAGCTATGTTATAGAAGCCGTTGTTCTGGTTGAAATTGTTGGTTATAGAGATAAGCGATGATTCTAGGATTCTTCGGTATTGAGTGTTGTCTTCTGTGGCGATAAGTCTTGAGTTTCTGTAGTTAATTAAATGGTTGTGTGAATTGCGATGTTGTACACAGGCATTCCTTGTATCGTCAGTAGATCCGTGTGTGACTTGAAAAAGCCCACTGTGTGGGTGAAACGTTGTCAATAAAGGATCACATTATACTGCATATGTGTTTATATTTCCATTGTGTCGGTATTTTATACCATTTATTTCCATCGTATACTCCAGGCGTTGGTTCCATGTGGGCGCTGCACACCAAGATGGGCCAAACGTACGTTGTGTATAATATATTAAATGAATCTTTGCTGTTACTGAAACCAGCTCTTAGCTAGTTTTATATATGACGCTGAAGTTTTAATATATGTATACTTCTGGTTACATGCTCGGAGCAGCGCATACTCCCAATCTTTCTCTTTGTACGTTGTATGCAGCGTCTCTCCTTCAGACAGACGCTGCGTACAACGTATTTCATGTTAGGTTTCCTCACTCCCTCTCCTATTTTCATTGTTTTATTTTTTTGCCGGACCTGACTCGGGTCACACACAGAAGGATGAACTAAGAATAGTACCTTTGATAGATTACCGTGAAGGTAAGTGGGTCACTGAGAGAGTAATCCGAAGCGGAGAGAGATAAAGTGATGGTCTGCCTGGTGTTTACTCAAGTTGGATTTCTTTTTCCGATGTCTAGTCCTGTTTGATTTATTTTTGAGGATGTTTTATAATAAGCTTGATTTTAACTCTAGGGACACCCATAACCTGGTCGACGTAAGGATTGAAGACTTAAATATTGTGCACAAATAATGTGGGAAATTTGTATACATTTCCCGTGTGGAAAGAAGGTTGGTGTCTAGTGGTGACCAGCCAATAAGCAGACTCAAGATTGACAACGAGACTCAAAAAATTCTGCCGACATTTCCAAATTTTCTTGAGTCTAATCTCACTCGACCTCAAAGCCATTAATAGTATGCCCATGCACTTCACTCCTTATTCATGAAGAACTTCGATAAAACACTCACTGTCTTAAATACGATAAAACATTATTACTGCCTTAAATATATGTAGATGGTGTCTGGATACAGGAGTCATCCCGTAAAAATATAGACCGATACCACTGACTTTCCGTACTATCAAGACCGTTAAAAAAAATCAAGAAGATCGATTGCTAAACAAATGGATTGATATCAGTTGCGCAACTTAGGCACCGTGAGTTTAGAGCAGGTGTGTCTATCCAAAGGGTTAGATTAGATATCTCTTGCCCCTCACAATTTGCTGGACCATTACATAGTGTTAGATGCACTTGACAAATAAAATGCACAGACTTTGCAAAAGCCTCCCGACAACTGATTATAGTGTTAAGGAGCACAAAATATTTGCAGATGGAACAACCGGAAAAGTGAGCAGATGGATTAGCAACTTTTTAACAAATTTAACCCAAAGTCATTATTTAGCAAAGTAAAATCAGAGCATATAATAGTGAAAGAATTCTGTTTCTCAAGGCGTGGTGTTTCCCCAATTCTCTTTTTCATTTTCATATCCGTCATAGACAGATACCTAAATAATATCACTGTTTCATCCTCTGTAGGCGATTCTAGAATTTGTACGAGAGTGGCATCCATTAAGGACATAGTAAATCTCCAAGTTAATATTTACCAGGTCTTCCAGTGGGCCACAGAATACAATATGATTTTCAGTGGCACTGCTCTGGAAAAAAAAATGAGGAAATAAAAATTGGAACGAGGTATAAGACTCAAACCACTCAGTAGAGCCGGAGATTAATATGAGGGGCTTAAGAGTGATAATATCAGGAAATCTTGCATTCACGGATAGCAAAAACTGTTCCTAATCACGACCGATAGAAAAAGATAGGCTGATTAACCATAGCCTTCATAAGAAGAGACGCCAAGCCAGCGATGGTACATTTTTAAGTCACGTGTTATCTCTCAACTGGAATACTGCTGTCCACAAACAGCCCCTTGTAAGGCAGGCAAAATCGCAGATCTGAAGAATGTACAGAGAACCTTCACTTGCCGTACTATAAAGTCGGTCAAGAATCTAAATTACTGAACTGATTGAACTGTGCTCCTTTGAACCTAAGTGAGGAGCATACATCGTAACCTCTGGAAGATTTTTGAGTGATTGATCCCATATCTGCATTCCGAAATCACTCCCTATAAGATCAAGAGACTTGGCAGACGGTGTAAAATACCTCTAGTGAAAAGCATGGACGCGATGAGTACTCTAACAGATAACTCGATAAATTTCAAGGGACCAAGACTTCAACACTCTCCCTTCATACATAAGGGGAATTTCCAGTAGATTCTAGCTGTCTTGAAGAGGGAACTTGATAAGTCTCTTAGATCAGTTCCTGGTCAGCTGGGCTGACGAAGGCACCAATGGTCTGATTGATCAAGTAGTCAACCAGGAGGCCGGGTTTGAAACCGGGGCAAGAGAGTACGTACTGGCCCACGGAATCGAAGACAGGTAGGTAGCCAGGTACATGTGATGGTGGTGGTTAGTGATGACCAGCCAGCTGCATGGGGTGGTTGTGACCAGTCAGCTGCATAGGGTGGTTGTGGTAGTATGGCTGTGACCAAGCAGCTGCAGGTGGTGGTGGTGTGTGTGGAGGCAGGCAGCTCATTAAGGCCTTGTTTGATCTTACTCTGACGGGACAATTTAATTGATATGACAATATAATCTACCCTTCAAAGGCAGATTCGAATGAGAAGATTAAAGGAATTGTTCAGTCTGTCACCAGCTACGTAGATTCCAGGTGGATAATGAGGGGGTATCAGCTTGTGGAGGTGGGGTCCCAGTTTGTGGGGTCATCACGATGAGGGGTCCCAGCACTTGGGGTTTTCACAGTTTGTGGGGGTAGAGGTGTCAGTGTGTGTAGATAGTCGGGATCTTAGTATGTGGGGGGTAGGAACCGTTATTTGAGATCTGTCTGCGACAGATATGAGTGCACAATAAGCTAGCCGCTTCAGCAGCAAAATCGAATCTATATCATTTGCAGGATGTGTTGGGGAGGATTAATAATTCAGGACTCACTTTTTTTTAATTTTCGTTACGTTAAGCGTGATACTTTTTCCGTGTATCAGTGAGCGTTGTTCTTCCTCGCTACGTTATAAGTGTGTTACATTTCCTGGTTAATATTTTTTTAATATGTTCACGAACAATAAGCTTCATAATAAGTATGTGTAGTCACGACTGATGTTCTGTTACCAGGCAACGAGGCTCTCTTCAACTCTGAATATTCTTCGTTATGTATACATACCTTCCAGGTTTGCGGGTCAGGGAGATGCATATATTCCAGGCTCAACAACAACAACCTCAAAGGAGCTTGTGTTGGATCATAATAACATATTTAATTTTTGCCCATTTTTCTATTAAAGATAAAACTGTCTTTTATGATGTGTGTCACCGACGTATGTGTACACCACCGGTGTATGTGTGTCATTTATATGTACCCGTTGACCTGGTAATGCCCGTTTACTAGGCAATTTACAAGTTTTTTCATACATAAGTGTGTTAGTGTAACAATACTACTGTGGAAAATACTGTATATTTTCCGAAAATACAGTGTATTTTCCGAAAATACAGTGTATTTTGTATGTAAATTGATGGAATATATTGTAGTTAATAAAAAATAATTTTTAAATAAATAAATGAACCAATGAGAGTGGTGAGCGTCGCTGGGGAAGGGGGGTTGCCATTGTTTTTTTGAACTGGGCAAGAGAAACGTAAGGAAGAATAAGAAGAATTTTCGTCGCTCTAGAGGTTAAATTGTGTTTAAAACCTCTCAAATAGGAGCCGAAATGGTTGGATTTGCAGTCCTGCAGAACGTGAGAATTAGGCGACTGGACAGGACTCCGTAATTAGATGGAAACAGATAAAATTAACCCAGTTGAGTGATGTATATATTTATGTTGAAATTCTGGCCAGTATTTTCTTCATATTTTAGGTAGGGGTTTGTGTATGACACACCAAGTAATCTCCAGACAAATTGGCGAGTGTTATTATTATAAATTCTCTCAGTGTATATGTAGTCATTTATTAAATTTAACATAGTCCACATATTTATATTAATGTTGTACCAGAATTCCTGGTGATGTATATTTCATTTGAAATTAATATAGGTCCAGAGTGACTTGTGGAGATATGAGTGGAGTTGGTATCGAAGGAGGACATTTTTTGCGACCTAGGATGTCCTAAAATTCCTACATGGCTCTGTAACCTTGATAAAGAATAATTATCTTTGTTACTTTTATTAAATTACTGGTATGTATCTAATGAGATTCATCCAGGTAATTTTAATTTTCCATAACTACAGTGGTAACAGATTATGAAAGTCTCGGCTCCTTTATTTTGTATTTGAAGACGTTTACAGTATCTTGAAAAGATATTAAAATCGTTTTTTCTCCCTCCTTCAGGGTCCATTATGTTCCACGTGCGGCGGCGGCCTGCGGATCATGGCCCCCGCAAGCGGAAGAAGAAGCCAGTGAAAGGTGCGGGCGGGGGTGGACCAGGGGGTGATGCCCATGACCATCGACCCAGGGACCCATACTTCCTCCCAGACCGTCTACCCTTCCTTATAGAGCTGGGACCTGGTGAGTAGTTACACACAAATGATTCAAACACTCCACAAGACAAGAAGAAACTAAAGGTTTTGGTTAAATTTGCCATATATGCAGGGTACAAGGAAGGATCAATTTTGTACTGATAAGTACCACATGGAAGTGGGAAATAGTGGAATAGGCTTCATGAAGATCATACTTTGCCTGGTAATTTTTTTTTAAGATATCTGATGGAGTGGTTGGGTTGTTCATAAATATATAATAGGTTTTCACCAGAAAATCCTGAAATTGTAGTCATGGGAAAAATTTATTTTATACCGACTATTAAATAGCTTTCAAATATATGAATAAATGCTAAATGTAGTGTGTGTGCGTACATTTATGCATATTTTATTATGTAATGTCTTTTTGTTTTACAAAATTTAGATAAATGACTTAATACTTTGTATCATGCTAAAAAAAATAGTTAAATATAAGTAGTTGGCAGACATGCTACATACGGGATTCCAGAAATAAGAAATTGAGTAATGAAGGAATACTCGAGTGAAAATGTCCTTGATGGAAGACTGGAACAAGACACGATTATTTTATATTCTTAACTTACACTAGTAGACGATGAAAGAAACACTAGACACAGTTTTAAGACTAGGTGCAACAGGGCCCATGATTTAGTATAGTGAAACAAGTCTTAGTCTTAGATGCGGGAGCCAGGATCAGGGACTCTACCCCTGCAACTAGGTGACAAAACGCACTTGATTACACACTTTGTCGAAAATGTTTTGTTCGAGGCCATCTAAGATAGGGAAGTGGAGCAGGTGGTAAATGTGTGTGTTGTTGTGACCACCGTGAAAGGAGTGGTTCCTGAGCTTTACGATGTGTTGCTGCAGAATACCAATGATGTTTGTTCTACGCTGGTACATAAACCCTTTCTTGAAGGTGACGGTGATTTGTTCCTCGGGAAACAGGAAAATATCTATTGCCTGGTCCTTGTTAGTTGATATTCGTTCAGGGAATAAACAACCGCTGACTTACCAAGGCCTAATTAATAATCATGCACAGAATTTCTCAAATAGTAATTATTCTCATCACCACATTCATACTAATGTATTGTGCGGTCTTCCTTTTCAGCTAAAAATCCTTCCATTACGCGTCATTCACAATGTCTGTACCAACAAGGTGATGAGCCTCTTTAATCATATACCTGGTGAGGAGAATCCAGCTGATTTCTTGTCTCGAGGTTTACCTAAGGATGCTAAATTTGTAAATGCTGTATCATGGTTTAAAGGACCGAGCTGGTTGGTAAATAAAGCTATTTGGCCTGTACAAAAGGCGTATATTGCTCCTGTTGAAATTACTGTGACCACCGCTCCAATAGTTTGTCCTCCCTTAGCCAATGATATAAATAGGTATTCTTCTTTACCCAAACTAATCAATGTAACTAAGTTGGTGTTTAAATTTCTAAACAAGATGAATATATCATATAAGTTTTCACATCCTCTTGAGTACTGGATAAAGAGGGTACAGGAGGAAATCTATGGAAATGAGATTAAATTGATGATGGAAAGAAAAATTGTGAAAGGTTCCATAATAGAGAAATTGGGCGTATATTTAGAGAACAGTGTAATTAGGTGCAGAGGTAGGTTACAAAATGCTGAATTGGGTGATTATGCTAAACACCCTATCTTACTGCTCAAAATTCATCATCTAACAAATTTGATTGTTCTAAATACCCATAAAAATGTAATGCATGGTGGGGTACAGGATACCTTAAATTGTATTAGAGAAACTTTCTGGATTCCACAAGGACGGCAAAGTGTAAAAAGGGTGATTAAATCTTGTGTAATATGTCGCCGTGTGGATGCCAGATCCTATATGTACCCAGGTCCTCCACCATTGCCAAAGGAGCGTGTACAATTAGTGAAACCATTTGATGTAACAGGTGTAGACTATAGTGGTCCAATAATTTTAACAGGTACTTCAGATGGTGTTCCACTGAAAGTGTATGTTTGTTTGTTCACCTGTACTGCTACTAGGGCAGTTCATTTAGAGGTGGCACAGGACTTGTCTGCAGAACAGTTTATACAGCTGTTTCGAAAATTTGCAGCTAGGAGATCCTGTCCGAGATTGATGATTTCGGATAATGCCACAAATTTTGTAGCAGGTGCTCAACACTTGATAGAATTAAATAATAGTAACGATGTTCAATCTCTGTTAACCCAACGAGGGTGTACCTGGAAATTTATTACTCCTAGAGTCCCTTGGCAGGGGGGAAGGGGCTGTACGAAAGACTGATAGGCACAGTGAAGAGGTGTCTCCATAAAGTACTACACCGGAAGAGAATTAATTTGGAAGAATTCCGTGCAGTGTTAGTGGAGGCAGAAAATCGTATAAATAATAGGCCTCTCGTACATGAGTGATACACCTGATGCAGATGTGTTAACACCTTCTCACCTAATATGTGGAAGGAAATTGGAAGCTGTCCCTGTCTATAGAGATAATCCGGAAGAAAGTGATGAAGATTACAATGATGCGGCAGTGTTATGTAATAAATTTAAAATGTTAAATTGATCATTGGTCTAATGTGTGGCGTAAGGAATATCTTCTTACACTACGTGAACACTTTTATGGTGCGACAGAGGCAGTAAATCGACAGACCATTCAACCAGGTGACATTGTGTTAATTGACACTGAACAACATCGAACATTGTGGCCTCTGGGCAAAGTATTGACATTGTACCCAGATGCACAAGGTGTTGTCAGGAATGTCAAAGTGTTGTGTCGTGGCCAGGAAAGTTTACGCACAATTAATAAATTGATTCCCTTGGAATTAGGTGTTCAGTCAAACGTAAATGAAAATCTGAGGGAAAGTGACACGAGTGATATGGAAGATAACACAGACCAAGTGATGCCGGAAGATAAAATCGTAGTAAGATCTACTAGGAGAACAGCCACTCAAGCCAGAACCGGCTGGAATCGTCTCCTAAAGGAAGGAGTGATTCGAGTCGTTTAGCAACGAACTCTGGCCGGCCGCAGTGTGGAAAATGCTGTATATTTTCCGGAAATACGGTAATTTATAGGCAAATAGATGCCCTATATTGTATTTTTAAAAGAAGTATGTTGTCGAAAATGGGGAAACCTGCGGCTGGGGAGGGCGGTCGCCATTTAGTTTGAATTTGGATTAGAAACGTTGGTGTAATGGGAAGAATTTTTCGTGCTCTAGAGGTTAAAATTGGGCTGACACACCTCAAATAGGAGATGAAATTGTTGGATGTGTATTCCTGCATAACTTGAGATATCAGGCGACTGGACAGGACAGCTCCAGGAACCTCAGATAAGTCTTATGTAGTAACCTGGCCAGTGTTATTTTCATAGATAGACAGTGAGGTTTTCTGAGTATGATGCACATTAATCTCCAGTCAAATTGGCGAGTGTTATGATTAAGATATATTCTCCTTCTGTTGTATAAATGTGCACATATATATATATATATATTATATATATATATTATATATATATATATATATATATATATATATATATATATATATATATATATATATATATATATATATATTATATATATTTATTATATATATATATATATATATATATATATTATATATATATATATATATATATATAATATATATATATATATATAATTATATATATATATATATATATATAATAATATATATATAAAAATATATATATATATAAAATATATATTATATATATATATATATATATATAATATATATATATATATATAATCATTTATTATTTTTAATATACTGTCCACAAATTTATATATTTACCAGCATTCTTGGTGTATGTATTTTTCATTTGTAATTAATAGGTCCAGAGCAACTTGTGGATATGACAGTGGTAGGTATCGTAGGGGGGCATTTTTTGCGACCTAGGTGTCCCAAATACCTACTTGTCTAACTGATATATAATAATTATCTTTGTTCATTTACTGTTATGTAAATAATGATACATCCAAGTAAATGCAATTTTCCACATAAGTGGGTAGGCAGATACTTTATAGCTGTCACCTCGCAACTCATGTGTGAAATGACACAGCATCCGCAGATTGTTGCTGCCCCTCGCATCTGCCTTCATATCCGCAAACTTCGCAATCGCTGGCTCCACCTGCCTCTCACTAATTGCACACTAAGTTTACTCGAGGAGTTAAGGGATTAGTTTGAAACAATACAAGTGTTGTGAAATGCCAGAGGTGGGATAAACTGCCTGGAACGATGTGCATACTGCGAGATTTTTAATACTACTATACTCGTCATACTGTGAGGATTTTCAGTACTACTATACTCGTCATACTGTGAGGATTTTCAATACTACTATACTCGTCATACTGTGAGGATTTTCAGTACTATACTCGTCATGCTGTGAGGATTTTCAATACTACTATACTCGTCATGCTGTGAGGATTTTCAGTACTACTATACTCGTCATACTGTGAGGATTTTCAGTACTATACTCGTCATGCTGTGAGGATTTTCAATACTACTATACTCGTCATGCTGTGAGGATTTTCAGTACTACTATACTCGTCATACTGTGAGGATTTTCAATACTACTATACTCGTCATGCTGTGAGGATTTTCAGTACTACTATACTCGTCATGCTGTGAGGATTTTCAATACTACTATACTCGTCATGCTGTGAGGATTTTCAATACTACTATACTCGTCATACTGTGAGGATTTTCAGTACTATACTCGTCATGCTGTGAGGATTTTCAATACTACTATACTCGTCATGCTGTGAGGATTTTCAATACTACTATACTCGTCATACTGTGAGGATTTTCAGTACTATACTCGTCATGCTGTGAGGATTTTCAGTACTACTATACTCGTCATACTGTGAGGATTTTCAGTACTACTATACTCGTCATACTGTGAGGATTTTCAGTACTACTATGCTCGTCATACTGTGAAAGTTTCAATACTATTATACTCGTCATACTGTGAGTTTCAATACTACATACTTGTCATATTGTGAGATTTTCAATA